TAAGCGCCCTCTCGTCTGTGGAGAGATGCAATCCAGGAAACTCCTCAACAGCTCCTCAAATCAAAATTAACAAAACACAGTTTTCTCCAAGTTTGCCTGAGTTTCTTCCATGGAAACCCCCCCTCCCACACATAAATTCCTTGTATTTTAATCAAGAAGATAAAAATATGAATTTAAACAACTGTGGGAATCTGGTTAGTGGTGTGACCCAGAGAGGCTAAGTTGTTCATCAGTGATGAATGTCACTGGGCCCTTTGCTTCAGCTCTGACTCACAAGTGGCATGCTGTGGGTACCTAATACTTTGTGAATATATTTCATTTCCTTGGATTTTGCTGAGGATTAACTCTTTTTCATTTTTTGTTTTGTTTTTGTTTTTCAAGACAGGGTTTCTCTGTGGCTTTGGAGCCTGTCCTGGAACTAGTTCTTGTACACCAAGCTGGTCTCGAACTCACAGAGATCTGCCTGCCTCTGCCTCCCGAGTGCTGGGATTAAAGGTGTGCGCAACCACCGCCTGGCTTTTTTTCATATTTTTAATTTTAAAAACTTACTTTTTATTTTACATAGCAACTCCAGTTACCCCTTTCCCCGCCCCCCTCCTTTGGGTACCAAGTTGTTCCCCTCCTCCCCTGTTATCAAGGCTGAGCAAGGTGTCCCTCCACAGGGAGAGGTTTAACTCTTCCTAACACTTCTGTGTCTGTGTGCACATGCATGTGTGTACATGTTCATATGTATGCACATTTGAGTGTGGAGGGCCAGGGGCCAACATCTGGCATCTTCCTCTGTTGCTCTCCTTTTGAGATAGGTTCTCTCACTGAACCTAAAGCTCACCAAAGCACTAAGCATGGCTGGTTTAAACCCTGGACTATGTTTCTTTGTAGTTTTAGAGCCTGTCCTAGAACTAGCCCTTGTAGACCAGGCTGGCCTCAAACTCACAGAGATCTGCCTGCCTCTGCCTCCTGAGTGCTGGGACTAAAGGCATGCACCACCTCTGCCCAGTTTTTTTTAAAGATTTATTTATTATATATACAATGTTCTGTCTGAATACATGCCTGCCAGAAGAAGGTACCAGATCTCATTACAGATGGATGTGAGTCACCATGTGGTTGCTGGGAATTGAATTCAGGACCTACAGAGAGAGCAGTCCATGCTCTTAACCTGTGAGCCATCTCTCTAGTCCCTGCTCTCGTTGGTAATAAAAAACTGATTGGCCAGTAGCCAGGCAGGAAGTATAGGCAGGACAACCAAACTAGGAGGATGCTGGGAAGAAGATAGGTGGAGTCTGGAGTTGCCAGCCAGACACAGAGGGATCAAAAGATGAATGTGCCATGCTAGTAAAGGTACCGCCATGTGGCAGAGCGTAAATAAGGAATATGGGTTAGCTTAAAATGTAAGGGCTCGTTCATAATAAGCCTGCGCATCAGCCGAGCATTTGTAATTAATATAAGCTTTGGTGTGTTTGAGAGCAACGGCAGGATAGGAAACCTCTGTCTTCAGCACACCTGTAATCCTGGCACTTGGGAGGCTGCGGCAGGAACATGATAGTTCACAGGCCCGCCTGGAACACATAGTGAGACCCTGCCTCCAACACAAAGAGTCATATATTAATAGCACCTCTAGCTTTGGGGAATGTGTATACCGAAAACAGCATGGTGTTTGTGGTGGGCGTAGAGAATAAGACTGATTCCCTTAAGGACCCAGTGGACGGCGTTAGAAAGGCTAACAGGGAAACCTGTGGTATGGATGGTTGTTAATGTTATGTCCCCTACATAGATGTTCAAGGTCTTCCCATTAAAGAACAGGTGTATGAGGTGAGATACATGGAGCCTAGGGCAGGTAAATACATGTGTAACTCAAAGTACTATGGCTGCCATAGACAGACATATTTTATTTGTTAACCTTTTTTTCCATAGTGGAAGATGTACAGGTGTTAAATGCAAAAGGAATGGATTGGAGGAAAGATAATGAACCAATGAAATAGCAGTTCCAAGAATATTATCTGACATGTGCGACAATGCAAAGATGGAAAGGTCACAAAAGGTTTTCAGCGGCTTTTATAGTGATGCATGCAAAACACTGCAAGGGTCCTGATGTCTTAGCTAAAAATAGCCCCCGCCGAAGCCAGGAAATAGCCGAATGATAACCAGAGGAGAGGACGATTGGGTTGTGTTTGGTTTGGACCTGGACTGACTGACCGCAGGGCCTTAAGAGCTGGACTGAAATGCTGGCGAGCACCTGAGCCTCCCTCAGCGGGGAATGTAGTTCGGGCACAAACGTTTCCTTTGGTCAAACAACAAGCAAAAACATCTTTTTCAAATCCAAAGCTAAACAGTTAGAAATGACAATCTGTGTTAGTTATTCTTCTCGCTGCTATGACAAAACCCCGACCAGTAGCAACTGCGGGAGGAAGGGTTGATGTAGGTTCACAGCGTGAGGGGATTCTCCCGTCAGTCAGTGAGGGTTAGGCATGGTGGCACAAGTCTGAAGCTGCTGCCCGAAGTGCACCCAGAGTGAGGAAACAAAGAGACAATGGGGAGCCAGGCTATAAAACCTCGCGATGGCCCCATCTCCGGTGGTGGTCACGTGTGGGGACATTCCACGTTCAGCTCGTGGGGGAGACGAGAACTGCACTGGAGTTTGGTTACTAGTTGTCACCGCCAGATTTGTTTCTGCCTTGCACTCGAGAGAACTCACTACGCGCGCACACACACACACAAACACAAACACACACACACACCGGTGTTTGTTTGTTTGTTTGTTTTTACCTGGTAATACAAATCCCTACCTTGCCTTACCTTGTGGGGTTTCAGGACTAGGACATCCCACACATCATGAAGGACCAGCCTGGGAGCCGAAGACGCGGTTGCCAGGGTATAGACCATAAAAACTGTCCTCAACAACCCCTGAGGGCTGGTGAGATGGTCCAGCCCCTTACAGCATTTGCAGTGCAAAACTGAGACCCTAAGTTTGATCCCCAGAGCCTATGCATCAAGGTGGAGGGAGAGAACTGGCTCGTACAGCTGTCTTCGACCTCCACAGTTGTGTCTTGCACACTCCCCTTTCCCCTCCCCCTTCCTCATAGATACACACACACTCACACACAATAGCAATACTTAAAGATATATAACTTCTGGGGCTGGAGACATGGCTCAGAGGTTAAGAGCATTGCCTGTTCTTCTAAAGGTCCTGAGTTCAATTCCCAGCAACAACATGGTGGCTCACAACCATCTGTAATGGGGTCTGGTGCCCTCTTCTGGCCTGCAGGCATATACACAGACAGAATATTGTATACATAATAAATAAATATTATATATATATATATATATATCTTCTGAGAAATGGGACTACATGGTTTGTGAAACAGTGATTTGAAAGGTGGTGGTTTTGATGTCAGTTAGCGAAATAATCTCCAAACAGTGTGTTGCTCTAGACGCAATAAAAGGAACAAACACCAAGGCTCTGGGGCAGCAGTGCTAATGGGCACCCAGCTCGGCTGTTTACTTTCCAGGCATTTTGGTCCTCTTGGTTGAGCACCCGAGACTCCATCTGTCCCTTTAGGTTTGAGCCTTTGAACAAGATTATATAAGGGATAGTTGCAGCTTTTAATTTTGGCGAAAATTAAAATTACATTTTGCCACTTATTGAAAAATGTCTTGAATGTTATGTGGAAATAACCACATTGCTGACGTGGCCATTTCTTTCCCATAATTCTCCTTGTTCAAGTTGATTATTTTGTTTTCAACAGACTTGCTAAAGATGTTTCCTCCGGCGTAAAGTAAATGGAAAATGCTTCTCTGAGAAGCTGTGGTGACCAGTCCACCAAGATTCCATACAATTGGGCCGCCCGTTAGACCGAGGCGTAAGTTATAGCCGCTGGACCTGTGTAACCCCTAACTGAACAGATAACCAGAAAATGGAGCACTGGGGTCTACTTTGGGGAGCAGGGGGTGGGTGGGCATGGGCAAACGTGTAGTCGCTTCAGCTGACGGTTTCAGATGTTGTTTATTTGTGACACAATACGGACTGACAACATTTAGGGGAGTGTTCAAGGCCAGAGCACATGCGCACCACTGTGCGGTTATAGCCTAGCCCATGCTACGTCATGCATGATGCATATACTCCATCAGGTTTTGCAGGGCGAACCTGCAGGCCCATTTCAGCTAACAGTCACTTCTGGGTGTCACTTTTCCCTTCATTCTCCAAAGCCTTTTTTGATAGTTACACATGGTTTATTTATACATTTCTGTACTACCTTGAAATTCACACAAACACAACTCTCCTGAATGTGAAATTAAAACGCACGCAGTGTTAGGGTGATTTCACCAGCTTTGGGGTGTCTGCCCACTTTAGGATGAGGGCTATATAGAAATCTGCTTGTAATAAAAACTGTTGACAACCGTGACAAAAATAAGGATATAATATCAAAATAAATCAAAGGATATATAGTATTGTCATTATTCTGATACAGAATTTTTTTTACATAGAAATATTGATACCAGTACAAATGTCAAGATATCAGGAAATCCATTACAATAGACCTTTGGATTACAAATAAAAGTTTAAATTATAACTTAACACCGATTTTTAAATGATGACGCCTGTCATGCCAGATGAAAATCAATGCTTCCCCCTCAAGTGACATTCCTTAGAATGTCTCCAACAAGAAGATTAAAAGAAAAAAAAAGATCTTCAAGTAAAAAAAATGAAAAAAGAAATGTAATATTTCAATAGGGAGAAAACGCCTTTTGCTTAAACAAATCTAGAAAAACGGACCACATTCTTTCAGTGTCCCATTAATTTTGTCCTCCCACCAGTTAAATGGCAGAACTGAAAGCCCCTGGGCTAGATGGGTGCAGGAAAAAATCCCAGAAGCACTCTCAACTTCTGCTCCCAATGAGCCATCTGGAGTGTCTGGTTCCAATGCACCCTCTTGCCACCAAATGAGAACAGAGCTAGCTGTTTGAGCCTCCTTACTAGGTCTACCAGCAAGCCAGGGCTGTAGAGACCCCACTTTAGAACGCTAGGCTAAAGTGAGGACCATCAGAGTCTCTGAAGGGAGGGCATGTCTGTGCGCTCGGCAGGATGGACAGAGGGGCTGCAAAGGACAAAAACAAAGCTTCTGCAACAAAATACCTACTCTTATTCTCCTGTTTGTGAACACGGTTGTTACTGGTATTCAAAAAAAAATGCCAAGCCGAAACATAAACAGGGAAATGAGAAGTCGTTCCAGGATGCTGTGCCCTTTATACGTTTATCCAAAAATCAAAACTCTCCTTCGAAAAGAAAAAAAAAAAAGTCACCTTGAAATGTGACTTGGGAAGTTGAGGAAGCGAGAGCGTTTCTTTCTGGCATATTCTTTGTTTGACACACTCACAAGTGAGACTTGACAGACATTGTGCAGGGGAGGTTCATACTTCAAGTTCCTGCTTCAGAGGGATCACTTCCGGGCCAAACAGATAAACCGGTTGAAAGAGGTCCGTAAACACGCCAAGCCTGGCAGGCAGGGACAAGTGTGATGCATTCTCCGCCCCCAAAATGGAACCTATAATGGAAAAGGGGACTGAGTCAGAAAAGTTTGATTTTTCAATTTGCCTGCTTGTTGGTTTATTTAGTGTTTGATATGTATGTATATGTGTGGTGCATACATCTAAGTGTGTGGCTTTACCCCTAGCACATGAAGGCCGAGGCCAGAGCCTGCCAATTTATTTTCTTGGGACAAGGTCTCTTACAGATAAGCTTGCTGTTTCAACTAGGCTGGAAGGCCAGTGAGATCCTGGGGTACACCCATCTCTACCCCACTCCCCACCCCCAGTGTTGGGGTCACACGCTTGGCTTTTTATGAGCGTAGTGGGGATTTGATCTAGGGTCTTTGTGATTGCAAAACAAGCATTCTTCCCAACTGAGTCATCTGCCCATCACTCTGACAAAAAATAAAAATGAAAACAAATGAAGCCGTTCTGTGGCTATCTGGATCCTAATCTGTGTTACTGAATGCTGGATAGACAATACACAGCCCCTTACAGTATACATCGTCTTCCCCGTCCCTGCCATCAGCGTGGGAAAATTTCAAATACAGACTCACACCTGTTCTTCAGATGAGAGATGTGAGTACACACATAGATGAGAAAACAGCCCAAGTTCCTTCACACATATGGAGGTGAAGGCTTGGTTATCGATGGATCAGAACTACAAAGCCTGTTTGCCTGCTGTATTTACTCATTTTGGTGAGCTCTGTGTGTGTGTATGTGTGTATGCGTGTGTATGCACGCATTCCTGTCTACCTGTCTGTCTGTCTGTGTGTTGTGCATATGCACATCTGCGTGGGTATGCGTGCAAAATTGAGGCAGGATCCATGTGGAGGACAAAGGTGGATGTTGAAAGCCTTCCTCCCTCAGTCACTCTTTCATTTTGAGATAGGGTCTCTTAATAAAACTGGCACTGGCCAATTCCTGTAGACCGGCTGGCCACGGAGCCCCAGGATCCACTTGCCTTTACCGCCTCAGTGCTGGAATTACAGAAGCTCGCCACCACACTTGGCTTTTGTACTGAGGTTTTGGGGGATAGAACCCAAGTCTTCTTGCTTCTGTGGCAAGCATGTTACTGAATAAGCCACATTCTAGCCCCTGTCATTTGTTTTCTTTTTATAGTGTCTTGCTATATAAGCTCCAGAAGAAAGGCCTAGGCACGACCACATGTATTCAGTGCACACGAATGAATCCACAGCTAGTCAGGAATATGGACATCACATTCACCCACAGCCACCAGAGTTAAACCACTAGGGATGTCTAGAGGGGAATCATGGGAAAGGCAAGCTGAATTTGAAGAACTTCTGTACTCAGAGGCTCTCAGCCTGACTCTGGAGAAGGCCTGCTTCATGCCCAAAGCCCCTCCACAGTCCCTGTACATGCCACCAGTGGTGCTGGATGGGAGCAGCCCAACTGACAGCTATAACTCAAAATACGTATACTTTTCAAAGTTCTAGAATAAAGAGAGCCAGGAAAACCACCTGACCCTGTAGGTACAGGGTCTCTAGCTCATTTAACACCCTGTCCTGGTTAGGTGACTAAGTACTGGAATAGCAGCACTCTGGATGCTGAAAAGGAGAATCATGAATTGGAGAGTAGCCTGCAGGGAGACCCTGGAGAGAAAGAAGAGAGAGAGAGTGAGGGAGAGAAGGAGGAAAGGAGGGAGGGAGGAAGGGAGGGAGGGAGAGAGAAAGAGAGAGAGAGAGAGAGAGAGAGAGAGAGATTGGCAGAGAATGTGAACGCTGTTTCCAGCTTCAAATGTGTCATTAGCTGTCATTCTGTGTACTTCTGGTCTATCCTATCAAAAGAAGCCACCCACACCAATTGCACAGATGTTTTCAGGATATATTTCTTTATAGATTTTTTTAAAGGCAAAAGGCTGCCTTCAGACAGTGGCAGAACCATTCCAACCCTACTCCTGGGCTGACCTGAGAGGGCAAACCCAATGCCCCTGTACAAAGTAAAAGCCAGGAGTCCTGGATGTATTCCTGGGTGAGGCCACGCTCTCTCGCTCGCTCTCTCGCTCATTCTTCTTACCTCCTTTTTCTTTTTTCTTCTCTTCGCCCTTCTTCTTTCCTGCCTTCCATTTGCAACATGGCGCTGGATGGGTCAGGGAGATGACTGACATCAATAAACACGAAGGGAGAGACGCAACAGAGGGCAGGGCTTGTGGCATGCTCACCAGGCAGAGTAGGGCACACAGCCAGGCTCCCCAGGGACCTTTTGCGTTTATGATGACTGGTTATTTCCAAGGGGCTAAACGTGGCATCTATACACAGCCACAGCCATGCTGCCCGTAGGGCTCAGGCAGATGGTGTGCTCAGAATGGTTCTGCCATTGTGTGAGTCAAGGCTGCTGGGCTATAAGGCAGAGGTCGCTGGGGAGGGGGTGTGAGGGGGAGGCTACCACCCAGAACACATCCAACAGCTGGGTACAGCTGGGCTAGCTTTAGACAATGACCACTGGGCAGTGTGGGATGTGACCATCAGTGACCTTTGCAGTCCATTCTGACTCTTGAGATTTTTGCAAGTCTTCTCCAAGCCAAGCCTTAGCAAAAAAATATGGACCAGTGGCTCTCAGTTACCAGGGACGATTCTGTCCATACAGCAATACCCAGCCAGTTATGTCTGACACAGCTGGAACTGGGGTGGGTGAGTGTGTGCATGTGTGTGTGTGCAGGTGCTAGAAATGTTGCTAAACTCCTAAACATTCAGGATAGCCCTCTCAGTGAACAGTGAGCTAGCTCAATATGTACACAGCACTGAAGTTGGTAACTAGCAGCAGCATCCATGTTCAAGGAACTGTGCTTGTCCCATACAAGTGTAAAATAATCACCCCGTCACAGGGTTATACACAGGACCCAACAAGCCTGTTTCAAGTTGATAGGCTACCCGCTATCTCCAGCCCCTATTCTAGGTACTGAAGGCTACAACAATGGACCAGAAGGGAAAGGCCTTTTGCAGGAACATCAATCCAGACCTGCTCCTATGAGCTTCAGGATTCTCATCCTGGTGCTTGCCTTTTCTCTCACAAACCAAGACCCAAATCTGCGTTTCTCCTTCTACGCATCATTTCTAAGCAGTTCAAGCTCACAGCAATTTTCTTTCCCCCTTTCCATTTGAGAGTTTCGTGGTGAACAGCATGAGTCCTGAAACCATCCAGTCAGCAGACTCTTGCCTGCTTCTCCCTGGGCCCATTCACTTCTAGGTTCAGAAGTCTCAGAAAACAAATCAATCCGTGGGGCATCCATGCGGTGATGAAACATTTGCATCGATCCACATCCTAACCACTAGTCCCAAACCTGGTTGCCTGCTTCAGAATCAGCGGGACACCAACTTCTTACAGCCCACAATTCCAAACAGTAAATTCTAAACTCGCCAACACAGAACATGCTTCTTACTTGCTTGTGGTAATTTTAAAGGGAAAACTGAAGCATAGACCTATAAAATCTTACAGGGGACTGAGGCAGGAGGATGGTGAGTTCAAGACCAGCTTGGACCACATAGGGAGACCCTATCTCAAAATAAAAAAATAAACGTGGGGCTGAGTATATAGCTCAGTGGCGGAGTGCTTGCTTAAGGGGTGAGATCCTGCCTTCAGTCTCCAGTAAGACACACACAAGCGCACACATGCATGCACACTGGGGGAGGGGGAGGAAGTAAAAAAGAGAGGGAGGGAGGGAAGGAGGGAGGGAGGGAGGGAGGGAGGGAAGGAGGGAGGGAGGGAGGGAAGGAGGGAGGGAGGGAGGGAAGGGCATGACTCCATAGTGATGGAACTGCTGTCTGTCCTGACTATTGCTGAGTTGTCCTCCAGTTTTGCAAGATGCCACCATCTGGAGGAACTAGGTATAGGGTGAAGGTTGAGAACCCTGGGTTAAACTGCATGCAGTATGTTCTGTCTGGTGACACTGTCAACTGAGCCTGCAGCCACAGTTCTGATGCTGCTCCAAGAGGTCCCTGCACCGCTGACTCTCGATGCCCACAGTAGGAAGAATGAGGAAATCACACATCATGCTCTCTCTGACCATCTTTCACTAAACCGCTAAGTCACGTGGGTTATCTTTCACTCTTCCTAAAAATGCTAAACATAAGTCTGAAAGTATCCTTAAGTTATAGTGACAGTGTTTAGCCATACACTGGTTTTAAAACAGGAATCACTAAAAAAGCTTGACATCTTCAAAAACTGTTGTAGCAAGGCTCAAATTGTATTTTTTTTCCAGTAAAGGGTCATTGTACAGGCCAAGTTTTAAAGTGAAATTAAAAAAAAAAAATGTGTCTGGGTGTGGTGGTGCACACCTGTGCTGCAATCTCAATATTCAGGAGGTAGAAGGTTACAAATTCTACATAGCGAGAGGCTATTGAAACATGAAAGAGAAATAAAGGAAGGGAGAGAGAGGGAGAAGAAAAGAAAAGGAAAGAAAGAAAAATTTGTTGAAATATGTATATAAAAGTGGGTGGCAGTGGGGAAATGGCTCAGTCAGATAAGTGCTTGTCGTGCAAGCATGAGGACCGGATGAGTTCTCATGTGAGCATCCACATGAAAGCCAGGCACAGTGTGGATCTGAAGTCCCGGCGCTGAAGAGCTGGAGACAGCTGGACGACTGCCAAACATAAGCCAGTCAGTCTACCTAAACCGTGAGCCCCAGATGCAAGGAAAGACCTTGTCTCAAAAAGTGAGGTGTAAATTTAATGAGGAAGACAACATCGACCCCTGTCCTCAACATGTGTATACATACACACGCATGCCTACGCACATGCATACGCACACACCCCTACGGAAACATACATACAAACGGGATTGGAGCTGGGTATGCAGCTCAGCGGGAAAGCACTTGCCTAGCATGGGCAAGGCTCTATGTCCAGCTCTAGTACAAACAAACCAGAGGATGGAACAAACAAAGATGAGGTCAGAACACCTTTTTAAATTAAAAAAATAAAACAGTAAAAGAATTTCAAGTATTAATTATATTCATCAAATGGAATAGAAAACCTGGCATAAAGAAACTTCCTTTAAATTA